CAGGTTCCCATCACCTGCACCGAAATGCCTACCGATGGACGTTCCCCTTTTCAATTAGCATGCATTCGCCTCGCTGATGTATAATTATTAGAAGGTACTATAGCCCTTTTTATTCGTTCCCATCAGTAATTGAAAGTTCAGAAGTTTACAGGTAAAAAGAGCTATTGAACGCATAAAGTATCGCTATTCAGGTCTTTCGTTATCCTCGAATTCCTCTGAAATTCCTGTTTCACTGTTTCGGGCGAACTACATACCCCCCGCTCGTCGACATCGACATTATATAGTGGGATGAGTTCATTTTCTAGGCTATCAGAGAAGTGATGGCTAAAGGAAAAGTTTGCACACTGAGCCTTCAATACTTGGCAGTATAGTGATAAGAGATGTAATGAGAATGGCCCTTATCCTTTCTTATCAATTGATAAGATTGCCTGTCACCCGTCATCAATGTCCCTATCACTAAAACTCTATAATTTGGTAGTGTAAAGGCTCCAGCAATTTGACTGAACAACAATGGCAACGTTCCTTATCAGCCCCTATCAGCTGTTATCACCTCCTGTCACCTGCCGTCGATGTCCCCATCTCCCACTCTATATCATTTTCTGAAATCAACGCCTAGCTGATGCTGTGTCCCGCGTCATTAGTATGGTGACCTTCCCATTCTAACCCTTATCAAATCCTATCAGCTGCTAGCAGTTCTTGTCACCCACCAATAATATTCCTGTGCCATAGCGTATATCATACCTTGGAACCAACGTCCCACTGTTGCTGTGTCCCGCACTATGGACTCGGACCCTCCCCTTCTGACGCCTCTTATCGGATCTTATCAGCTGATATCACTCCCTGTCACCCATCAATAATGTTCCTGTCCCACGTCCTATATCATACCTTGGAACCAATGTCCCACTGTTACTGTGTCCCGCACTATGGGCTCGGTCACCCTCCCCTTCTAAGGCCCCTTATCGAATCTTATCAGGTGCTATCACATTCTATCACCCACCAAAAGTGTTCCCGTCCTGCCATGTATATCACTTCTTGGAACTGTCGTCCTATCTTTTCTGCGACGCTCGCTATGAATTTCGTGACAGACAGACAGACGCACACACACACACACACACACTGACAGACATACTTAGCGGATTATATTATACCAGTCGGATCGCACGGCTGACGCCGTGCTCTCCTCCTTCTCTTGAGCTCGGCTTCGCCGAGCTGGCCTGGCTTCGCCAGGCGGCTCCATAATTTTAACGGAATTTTTTTCGGGTAGTGGGCTGCTCATAAGGCGCTGTAGTGATCGAATCGTAAACATGCAGAGCCAAAGGCTTAGGATCCCGCACAACTCAGCACACGCTTCTATTTACAGCAGCGGTGTAGTCCGCGCCGTGACGCCCATAGAATACATAAATGTGTAGTCGGCCCAATACAGCGCAAAATGAATCGCTCAGTGGAATAGCAGATTTCGTTCCCATTACCGCACCGAATAGCCTGACCGACGAACCTCTTCCTTTATTAAGCATGCGATCGCCTGGCGTTGATACTAGGTGCTTTTTGTTCTTTCGGTTCCCTCGAAGTTTCCCTGCAATTCCTTTTTCACGCAACACTACAATACCCCCCCCCTCCCGCCCCCCCCCCCCGCTCGTCGACATCGACATTATATAGTAGGATGAGTTCATTTTCTAAGGCTATCAGGGAAGTGATGGCTGAAGGAAAAGTATGCACACTGAGCCTTTGATACTTGGGGGTATAGTGATAAGAGAGGTAATGATAATGACCCCTTATCGTTTCTTATCGATTGATAAGATCCTGTCACCCGTCATCAATGTCCCTATCACTGAAACTCTATAATTTGGTAGTGTAAAGGCTCCAGCAATTTGACTGAACAGCATTGGCAACGTTCCTTATCAGCCCCTATCAGCTGCTACCACCTCACATGCTGTGTCCCATCTTTATATCATTTTCTGAAATTGCCTAGCTGATGCTGTGTTCCGCGTTATGAGTATGGTCTAACCATTCTAACTCCCCTTATCAAATCCTATCAGCTGCTACATTCCCTGTCACCCATCAGTAATGTTCCTGTCTCACGTCCTATATCATACCTTGGAACAATGCTCCCTTGCTGTTACCGTCCCGCACTATATGGCCACGGTCACACTCCCCTTCTAAGGCCCCTTATCGAATCTTATGACCCTGAGTTGTGGTGGAGTAGGCAAAGTCTGCTGGGTTGTGGGAACAAATAATGGGAATTTTCATCCTATCTTTGCAGTGAATCTTACAGCGAGCCGACTACGCCTAGTCACCCACACAGTCTCAGAGCAGGAAGAAAAGGCACTGATTGACACCTTTACTGCCCCCAAGTCTTCCGGAAACAGGCCGAGTTTTTGCTGCCCCCGCCTTGCGCGGGCGCCGACCTACGGGAGTTTCGGGGCTAAACAAGGCCGAATGTCATATACGTTTTCAGTAGGTCAAGATACCCCAGAAGACAACATTTGAGCCGAATCTGTCCACGGAGAAAAAAGTCGGTCAGAAAATGGCTCAATTCTGGATGGTGGTGGCGTAAAGGGTATATAGTGCCAAAGAAAATCCTGGTGTAAACGTCACTACACGCATTGTATCACCTGCCTACTGTGCTGATGGAATTGCACAACCAGTTCTACATTATCTAGCCACTGGCGCTTCCGGGAGTTGTTCCCTCAGGGACCCATACTTCCCTAATCCAGTCCCAGTCGACTTGGCTCAGCCCTTGAAGGAAGCTGGTCTTTATGCGGGAGTTAGAGGGAATTTTTAGACAGTACCCACATGCCCTTCCCCTTGCGCACCGGTTAATCATGAGAAAACTTTTGACCAAACTTCAATGCTCTCTTCAGGGAATGAGAACCTCCGTCATTTGTGCTTTTGGAGCCAGCCAAAAGCTGCTATAGGAATAGGCAGTAAACTCGTACCAACGACTGGTTAATTGACTCGAGTGAGCGTCAGCTAAGCGTCTGAATCCCAAGGTAAGTGGGCAGCCACCCGTCCCTGGACGAGGTTAGTCTTCCAAGTAGAAGTCACTTGAGCGAAAGCAATCGGTTCATTTCATATTTCGTATTAGGTTGGCGGGACAGTTCTCTCACACATTATAAGCTCAAAATACTTGCCCATTAACTGAAGAGGAACACCGGTAATGTAAGCAGTTCTACATCGAAGAATGATCTTTCTACTAGTAGCACTCGCTTAACTACTGCTTCTTCGACAAGAATAGTATCCGCTACCATCGGCACCGGATGTTCCTAATCATCGGATAATCTTTCACGATGCCAACGCTCTAAAGCGGGAGCTCACAGCTTTGAAGTCGAAGTGAGGTTTGGGTGAACATGTGAACTCAGCTTGAGGGAGCTGTGGGTCGCAATACTGCTGGATGAAGAAGCTGTTTCCTTGGTCAATCCGTACGCAAAGCAGCTACGAGACCTGAAGCGAATCGTCGATCAGAGGAGAACAACTTTTCCGCGCAGTCAGCTTTCAGCCTAACGGTGCAGCCTACCCCGCACGAAAGAGGTCAAGCCAAAGCTCATGCAATAGAGCTGGATGGCTCTCCTTTTGCACCGGTGTAGACCAGACATTGCTCCTTCTAACCGAAAATTGCCCTTCAACTTATCCGTTATATGGACGAGAAAAGCTTCACGACCTGAGCCCAAGTCAAAATTGAGATGATGTCCAACTTTGCGTCGCGCCGGCCTGCATTGTGAAGCGATGGCATCCCAGAGGTGCTCAAACACTGGCAAGAACCCCGCAATAACATTGCTGTACAATTTTGATCTTTTATTCCTCTCTATGAAAAGAAAGCCTATTCTGAAAAAATGTGACAGAACTTTCCCGCCAACCTAATACTATGGAGGGTAGCATCAGGACCTCATTCAGAGCAAATACCGCGTGTGAGTCCAACCAGGTTGTGACTTGGTGGAAATTCATATAGCGGGACGGTAAAGCATACGTGGAATGCTTACTTAAAACACTTCGAGTGACCACATAACTCGATCTCTATACAGGTGCGGAAAGATATGATACGGACTTCGAAAAAATGTCGCGAACTTTTGGGACAACCTAATATTTCTTGAAAGGCACGCTCTCTACTCGTTACGGTGAGGAGCGTTCTTAGAAAGCATGCCAGCGGAAAGCCTGTTCGAATGTGTCATTTTTGTGTAATTTTTCCATTATGCAGCACATCTGCCTCCCCAAGCTAAAATGCTTCCAGAGTATCGCACAGTGAAGCAGGTACCCAATGGGTGACAGAGGCATGACCACAATTGCATCAAAATGAAAATTTGTCACCAAAAACAGTCACCGCCAGGTTCAGTGAAAGTACGGAGCCAGGCTTCCACGTCTCGGGAAATTTCCGGTGTCCTATCACTCTGTGCGAATTTATGAAAGCTGCTCCTTGCGATTCATGATTTCAGAATTTCGTGTAATATACAATTTGATTAAAGTTTTGATTAGCATAGATGATGATATGAACAAACTTCTTGGCTACCGGCCCTATTGATTCCAAATCGTCCACAATGGCCGATGGCGTAGTCCCTACTGTGCAATAGACTACGAGAGGAATTAGGTTGTTTTCCAAGTCCTGCAATGTCATTGCTTTGGTCCCATTTAGGAAACGAATCAAAGTGTATAGCCTAACCTGACGAATTTGCTCTTCTACTTCGGCGCCAGTGAGGCCCCACTTGTTGGAATCCTTCGCCTGGATAGCGTGACATCTCACCGTAGCCATTTCACACGCTTTTTCTGCATAGGGGTGTGCCTGAGAGACGAAGACTGTAAGAAGAGTTGCCCTCTAAGACCAAACTAATGAAGAGGAGATAGCTAGAATTGGAGATTCAAGGACTTCTGCTGGTAGTGTCAACATAACGAAGTCCACACTTTGTCCACGACTTGACGGACCTGTTGCATTACATAGCACATTACACATCTACAACCGATTGGGGAAAGAGGGGGTAAAAGGGACATACTACTAGAGAGCATCATCAAAGTTCACTTCGCACAGGAGGACAACGTACAACGCGGAAAAGGATGAGTTCTACCTGACCCTAGACGAGGCCATAAGATCGGTTCCGGAAGATGACTACCTCACCATAGCTGGGGATCTGAATGGCCATGTGGGAAGTGAAAGGGGCCTAGAAAGGGTGCACTGAGGTCAAGGGATAGGAGCAAGAAACGCTGAGGAGAATGGATAGTTAACTAGCCCTAGCTTACGGATTAGCAGTCTGCAGCATCTTTTTCGCGAAAAGTAGACAAAAGATTACCTCACAGCAGTGGAGGGAGACAAACGGAAATCGACCATGTCCTGGTCAGAAGATCGTCTCTCAAAACCGTCAAGGATATCAAGGTACTGCCTGGGGAAGAGCTGGGCCCTCAGCACAGGCCTCTCCTGGCAGACATCGCCATAGACCTCCCCAAGAATACGAAGGTCGTCAAGCAGAAGAAGGAAGCATACAAACGCTGGCAAAAGACACGGAGCCCAGAAGACTACGCTGCCTACAAGAGCTGCAAGCGACTCGCTAAGGCAGCCGTTGCTAAGGCCAAGAATACGGAAATGGACGCCCTGTACGACAAGCTGGAAGGCCGAGAAGGGGACAAGTTCGTCTTCCGCCGGGGCTCTCGACATCGCGCTGCTCAGGACATCAGGGTCGTAAAGACTGTGAAGACAGGGTACAGCATGGGGATGTGCGAAATGGCGGTGTGAGTACGACCCCCCCCCCTCGAAGAGGGTCCAGATACGACCCCCCCCCTCCTGCTCTAACTGACAACCAGATGCATGTTCACCACAAATGGCTTCCTGAAATGGAATCTGGATTCTCGAAAGGCGCACTCTGCTCTAAAATCCAGGCAATAAAAGGCTGCTTCCAGCCTCATGCAATATGAGGCTGAACAACAGCCTCGCATTACCTAAAATTTTGTCTTAGGATTAAAATAAAACTCGTCCTTCGACAACCATGTATGGCATGCAACTTGTAACAAGGAACACAATCGAAAGAGCGACGGGGGGGGAACTTTAAAAATGAGGCGTGATCATTGATAAGCTAAATTGGTGAAAAAATAGCCCCAAGGTCAGTGTGCCAGGCCCCAGATGTGCATTCAATGAATGGTGACGGGGAAATCATGAAAACATGCACGACACAACAAAGCGAAACATGAAAAATTACAAAAATGCGAAGATGAAAAAAAAGGATAACCAGGCGGCAGTAAATCGTTTTATACTGCGCGCTATTATCGCATCGCAAGGCTGCCGACCGCCTTTTGCTTTGGATACAATGTCATTGAAGCGCGGCTTGGACCAGCCAACCGTCCTGGCGCGCTCTTTTCGGGGGGGTTATATCTCTTTGAGGGGCGCGGCTTTTGATGAATGGTTAGCAGCATGCAACGGGAATGTTCCTACTGTTGCGTTTTCTACCCAGCTGCCAATCTGAATGTTTCCCCGTTCGTGAAATATTTCGGATGGGTTTCGGATCGGCTAGGGGTAAATGGCAAGCCTGTTTTATGCCCTTCACACGCCAGTAATAACTTATTTCGAACGCAATTTCACCAGGACTTAAATCGTCTAGGAACCACCCTATCTTTTCTCTTTACAATAAGGTTTACAGTTTTTCTGAAGACCCACTAGTTCAGGAGATATTTTAGATGAGACGCGCTACCCTCTGACCCACCCCGAAAAATCGACTCCTTCTGTGCCATTGTGAGGATACACCTTCGGAAAGTTCAGTGCGGCCTTCAAAAACACATATATTTCCTTACAAAACGAGGAGCTCTTGCCTACCAACTGTTCGATCTTCGCGTCCGAGTTGTGCGCCGTGCATACCGCTCCTTAGGCAGAGTCAGTGGAAAGGTGGGTAAATTGTGATTCGACGTCTTCACCTACTCCAAGCGACCATGTTGTTTGGGGGTTCTGGAAAAGACAATGCGCCAACATGAACCTGTTTGAGACGTATTATTCAGTCATCTACGTACTTACGAGTTCATGCTGTTAAATTATATTTATTTATTCGTTTATTTATTTATTCATTTATTTTATTTATTCTATATTTATTCCTTGCTATGCTTCTATATTGCTAAAATACAGACGGGGCGGATTTTATTATTTGTAGTCCTATTTACATCCGGGTCTTCTGCAGCTTTCCGTCCGTTCCATCTTAGCAATGACACTTTTGTACTGTTTGATGCCTAGCGAGCCTACTTTTGCGATACTCCCCACGTCCCCCGCGGCCAAGTACGAACCCATTTTTGGGGATTTCGCATGAAAAGAGGGCTGTTAAACGTAGCAGTTAAATCTGTAAAGAATACACTCATAATTTTCATTTTTTTTAACATCTTGACTTCCATAGCTCCACTCCCACTATCAACTGAAATGTCGAAGCATTGCCCGGCTCTGAGTGACCCTTGAGATTACGACCCCCCCCTCCCCAGCGGCCAAGTACGACCCCCTATGGGTTTCGCACAACGATGCTGTACCCTGTGTGAAGAGCAGCAACGGGGCCATTACTCAGGAAACCAGCCGAAGTCAGAGGTGGGAAGAATACTTCGAGGGACTTCTGAACGAAGAATTCCCTCGCAAGGATAGCCCACAGATAGAGGCGACGGCAGGTCCCATCACTCCCTGGACGAAGGATGAAGTCCGCCGAGAGCTAGGCAGAATGAAGGTTGGTGTCGCAACAAATGCGACTAACTCAATAAGTTATGGTGAGTAAAGAAGGGTTAGTTTACATTCTTAGGAAATTTCTTTCGTTCTCACCGGCACCCTGGGAAATCTTAGTTCTCAAAACATAATTTCTCGGGAGGCTGAAATATGTTTTTATTCCGGAATTGCAGGGCTCAATAGTCACGTTCACCGCTGTATATATGCTTGGGAGAGATTTTTTCTGGGGTTTCCCACCAGTTCTGTTTCCACGGCTCAGTCGCCAGATCGGTTCAGCTAGGCCGAGAGTCGTCAGCGCATCATCGACATTCACTGATCCAATCGCCGATACGCCTCGAGCTCGCTCGCAAGAGGAGCTTCGTCATCACCAAGCAGTGGGTCCAGACGGGGTACCGATAGAGGCATGGAAGGCCCTTGGAAGCATGGGGTGAGTTGGCTCACACACTTCCTAAACAACGTAACGGCTGAAGGAAGGATGCCAGATGCGTGGAGGAGCAGCACAATCGTCCCCATCTTCAAAGAAAGGGGACGCGACGGAGTGCTCCAACTACCGCGGCATCAAGTTGACTCCCCATACCATGAAGCTGTACGAGCGCCTGGTCAACACTAGGCTGAGGGAACTTGTCCCTATCTCGCAGGAACAGTTCGGCTTCATGCCCGAAAGGTCCACCACTGATGCCATCTTCATCGCCAGACAGCTGATGGAGAAGTACCGAGAGAAGCGGCGACCCTGCTACCTAGCCTTCCTGGACCTTGAGAAGGCATTCGACCGCCTGCCTCTGGAGAGCGCTCAGAGAACGTAACGTTCCGGAGCACCTGGTCTCCATAGTGAAGGACATGTACGATGGGGCTAAAGCAGCTGTACGCACCCCGCACGGCTTGACGAAGGAGGTAAACATTACGGTTGGGGTACACCAAGGATCAGCCCTCAGCCCGTTCCTCTTCCTCCTGACTCTAGATGTCATGGCAAAAGAACTCATGGAGGAGACCACTGAAAACCATCCTCTCTGACGCTCGACGCTCAAATCGCTGACGACATCGCCCTGATAGCGGACAGCAAGGAAGAACTCCAGGACAAGGTGCAGCGGTGGCAGGATGTGCTCGCTGAGAATGGACTCCGGCTAATTGTAAAGAAGACCAAGCCTTTTAGATGTTCATCTATAAGCCGAGTAAGCAGTCCCTCTGCGTCTACGGTCACAACAAGAAGGAGCCATCGCTCGTCCCCACGTAGCACAAAAAGGCGCACAGTAATCGCGTTAGCTAGAAGCAAGTGTGCGACTTCCATGGTCGTGTCACTTTCTTTCGTAGTGCCGCTTTTATGCTGGAACAGGCCAGCCGACCAGCTTTTCGGACAACGTCGCTGTGTAGGTTAATGAACTTTTCGATTTCATGGACCCCTCAACCCTCGAAGGCATCTCAGTATCCAAGGCACGCAGATTTGACAAATTCTGAAGATAGCTGTATGGATGGAGAATACTGGTCAGGAGAGGGGGGCATTTATTCCGTCATTCCCGTCGAGAAAAGTTCAAGATGGTACTCAACATGAGCAATGAACCCTTTCTTTCATTGCCCCCTCTATGGAGCGCTAACGCGACGAATGACTGGCTAAATTCACAACTTCAATGATATTATCACTTAAGGGCAAAGCCCGCGATCAGTTGCCATTCTTACGAATACGCTGAATGGTCGAGGCCTGCGGCATTAAGGAGGACAAGGGGGACAAGGCTTCAGATAACGTTGAAAACAGCAGAATAACATCGCGCTAAGTGCTGCCTAAATCATGGACCCCAGTCCAATCCTGGTTTGCTACGTGCATGGCGATGGGGAACAGCACTCTGTAAGACGAGCGCTGGTCCACGTTACTGGCTCGCTGACCAGAGAGTGTTGCGCCCACGTATGCACAAGATCTGACCTTTGTATGTTGCTATATCTTTCCACGTGGAACTCATCGCATCATGTTCCTTTGCTTGTTTTGAGGTTTTGGTTTGCTTTATCAAATCAAGAATGGCATGCCTATTTTTCTCCAACTTTTCGTGCACTTTCTGCTTTTCGTGCACTGTAGGCCGGACATACATACTTTTTGCAATACATTTCCAGTTGTACCCCTTTGTGCGCTCAGCTGACCCAATACAACCCTACGTCCGTACAAATAACGAAGGGGCTCAAATGTTCATGCTTTTCTCGTCCGAAAACTTGGTTTCTCACTAAAGGGCGGCGCTTGGGAGGCGGAGTCACTGGAAAAAAGGAGGAACCACTGGATCTATTCTGCCTTATAGCGCCCCTCCCCTGCACTTTTTTCCGCGAAAACGGTACAGGGTTGTTCGTCGCGGACCGCACTACCCTCCCCACACCATATTTTCAACTTCGATACCTGATCGCGGACCGTTTCTTTAATTCTCGTGAAATTTCACTAGGCTGTTATAAAAGTTCGATAACACACTCAAAATTCAAGTGGTTTGCTTCTTTGGAAGGCTTGATCGAAACATGGTTCTAAATGCTACTGAAAAATGACAAACAAGTGCACTCACATCTTGGTTGATGTAGGCAACAAACTGTGGACCAACTTCACGCATAAGCTCATCAAAAGCTGGCTGTGGCTTGCTATATGACTCCACCAACTGAATGGTATGGCAGTAGCGTGATCGGAATCAAGACAGCAACGAATGTATTCATAGCTCAACCTTTATACAGAAGGGGTCAGCAAAAAGTGCTTTGCTCGTGGAGCGCTCAATGTTTGCGTCGCACAAGGCTACAAGTTAAAGGCGATACATTCTTTGACTACGATATTCCCCTTTATGTTAACAACTCCTATACGCAGTCTCAAGGTGACTGGGAGTCGTAATGACCTCGTATTGCAAACGCGTAACGCGCCATGTTTGAGGGCGAGTGACCACTCACAGAGAAACGCTGGTGGAATGCAAAGCCCGCAGTCTTTCGCCATCACACATAGTGGATGAGGGGGTTGCATATAGACGACAATGTTTTGAACTCGAAGAGTGAAGAAAAAAAAGCAGAAAAACATGCCAACTGCCCTAGATAGAACCCCATTCCAATCCCAGTTTGTACGTGCCCAATTAACTCCATCTTCAACACTACGCCCTCATCCGCACAGCTGACTCCTCGACAGGCTCTTTCATCCTGCAGCTTCGTTTTCTGAAAGGCGGGCCTTGAAGGCGGAGTCTGGAGGCGGAGTCACTGGAAAAAAGGAGGCGTCACTGAACCTATATTGCGCTATAGCGCCCCTCCTACAATTTTTTGCCGCGAAACCGGTACAAGGTTGTTCGTCG